CAGCCGGACTTGAACCGTTGACCTTGTCTGTGGGGGCATGGGAGCTTAACCGCTAAGCTATGGGACCCATACCCTAGAACAGAAATTTAAGAATAGCTCTTCTTGTTATTATTTTAATAAACAGCTTTTGATTATAAACTGTATTGATACTCCTTCTTTAGAGTAATTTTTACAAACAAGGTTTATTTTCTTTTAGTAAAATAAAGTAAAATTATTAGTATTGCATTACCTTTCCCAAAATGTTTCAGAAAAGAGTATAGTTTTTTGACAATGTCTAACAGAAGCTATACTTTTCTTTTGAACATTGTATATATTTGTAAAAGATTTTTTGTACTATGTCATAGTTATAGTATAAAAATTAAGAAGACTTTCACCTATAACATTTGATGCTTTCTGATAGAAAGGTTAAATTTTTAAAGAAAACAAGTCACTTCAGATAAGACATTCCTGAACATATTAGAAAAGTTATCCTAGCAAGAGACTCAGACAAGTATTAGTTATTTTGACAAGAGACCTAAATAAGTATTAGTTATCCTGACAAGAGACTCAGATAAGTACTAGTTATCTTGACAGAGTCTTGGATATAGAAACATCTCTTCTTTTATAGTTCACACTGCTGCTAAACTTCACAACAAGAACATTCAAAGTTATTAACAAGCATACCTAACTGGATCTTATCTTACAGTAGACATACTTCAAGCATAGCATTTAAATTTATCTTGTTTTCAGTTTTACTTCCCTTAACATACTAGCTCTTGCTCAGATTTTGGATAATTTTGAACTTGATAACAAACCAACTTTGCAGTTCAATATTATTTATTTCAAACACAGAACAACTTTACTACCATTATTATTCTATATCAAAACTAAATTATACTTTACCTTTGTATTAGAGATATTATTTTTAATTGTTAATACTAAGAAGATATTGGTGATCCTAGAACAATTGCTTTAACTCTAGTTAAAAAATATACCAACTTTTTTCAACTTTCTATCTTACTATTTGAATATCAAAATGCTCTTGACCTTCATCTTGATACTTTTTTAAGTTTTAGTTTTGAAGAACCAGGAGAATTTAGTTGACATCTTGGAAATTTAGAAAGTCCTATTCTATTATTTACTACTGATATTACTTTTATCAATAATATTCTCTTTTTATATAACTCAGCAAATAGTTTAGCTTTGTATAGTAAATTAGTTATATCTACTGAACTTTCTAAAAGTTATTATACTCTTAATTGGACTCTACAAATCTTTCTATTATTTACTAATAATTTAGAAACAAAAGAATATATTACTGCTTCTGTAAACCTTACAGAAACCTCTAGCTTACATCATACTCCTACTAACTTACTACAACAAACTCTTAAAGACAGTTCTTTTTCTTTACCTTCACCTCAACTTGCTTCTTTTCTATTTCAACCTATCACTGCTCAACTCCAATTTATTTAATCTTAACTTTAATTTTTTCTTTCACTTTTGCCTATTCTTAATAACCTTTTTGACCTATCTAATAACATAGTACAACAAGCTTTACAAGATGTTATACAAGCTATAGCTAACCTTACTGATGTTCTAAATGAAAGTGAAAAAGCTCTTATGAAGGCTAACTTCTTTTATGATAATAGAACCCAAAACTTAGAACAATGTCTTGAAGATTTTTAAAGAGCTATTACTGCTAACAAGTAGAATGCTGCTTAAAAATTGAAACTTATCTTTGTATACTTAAAAGAAATTATATTAGTTTGATAACTAAGTCTTTACCTTGCCTCAAATGCTTTTGATAATAATGCCAACCAAGACAGAAACTTTAAACATCTTTTTAGGCTTCACTTTTACATATCTAAACAAAAAGCTATTTGGCAGAAATAGCTTTTTAATATCAAACAAGACCCAGACACAGTAGATGTCTATGTCAATCATTTTAGACAATTGAAGAAACAAGTTAATCTTGATAATACTTTCCCTGTTGACTTCATCAAACAACTATTTTTTCAAGAACTACATACTAAATTCTCTATCAATGTGCAAGCTAACGAATCTGCTAACCTAAATGCTGCTATTATTTCTGCAAAATGATAGCAAACCAAATATGTAATAGCTACTAACACTATTAAGAAAAAGATTAGGCTATCAAACAGCTAACAGATCAGATTGCCAAACTTAGTATCAACTTAGTACAGCAACAGCAACTACTTTAACCTCAACCTACTAACTATATAGCTACTTCTAATACTAACAGACCTTAAGCCAAAAATTTATGCTACTGCTACTACTGTGAATATACAGAACATTTTATTGCTAAATATAGAATCAGACAAGTTGAACAATAACCTAACCAAAGAGATAACTATAGAAGAAATGATAAACACAATCAAAGATCTCACTCTCAAAGTTGTGACAGATCTTATTATCAAAACTTTTCTAAAGAAAAAGGAAACTCTAGAGAAAGAAGCAGATACTTAGACTCTTATAATAATAATAGAAAAAGAACTAGTTTTTACTTACTCATACCTTATTATAGAGATGTTAACTACCTTGGCCATAAAGATTTTTCTTTTATTTTTTCTGTTACAACATTAAAGAAATAGGAACAATTTCTTAACAACCCTTCTATTCATATAGCTATGTCTGCATATTTGTATAAAGAAGCTAAAAATACTAACTTAGTCCAATCTTCTATCTATACTACCCTTGTAAAATATAACATTCAACTCAAAAACAGATTCTACCAAGCTATTATTAATAGTGATGCTGCTATTAGTATAATCATACATTAAACTGTCAAAGAATTAGAACTTAAAATTGAACAAGCTTCTACTAACCTAATTGTCACAGCAACTGGTACTTTTATATGTCTTCTAGGAATTATTAAGGATTTCTTTGTAGAAATTGAAGAAATAACTATTCTAATCACTGTTGAAATTGTTTCTGCTACTTTTTATTTCTTCCTTTTAGTAATGACTAGTCCAAGAAAGTTAATGCCAGTTATAACTAAAAGAATAGTTGTTATTTGTTCAAGTAGAATAACAAAAAAGTTTTAGTACCAATGACCTATAAAAGTAATCATGCCTTATCTACCAATCTTGAAACTGAGTTCAAACTACTTTATCTTATATATGTAGCAACTGTAAATTCTCTAACCACCTTTTTGCTAACTGCCCTTAAAATACTTGCAACCAATGTCATTATAAAAAACATATTAGTGTCTATTGTGAACTGCAAGTTTCTCAAAGAGAAACTTGCAAGAATTGCCAAAGCTCTAAACACCTTTATTGACAATATTCTGAAAATATTTGTTATGAATGCAACTCAATAGAACATATTGCTGTTGATTGTCTTTTAGCTTCTCTTAAGCACCAGAATCAGACTTATCAATGTAAATGCAACCTTAATGAAGTGGAAGCCTAAAGACAGTACTACCATAGCAATTAGTGCTCTGAAATGATCAGAAAAACCTAAGTAACTCAAATTCTAAACCTGAGATAAAAAATACATCACATAATTCAGATCTGTTCAAGTCCAACCTTATTTAATGATTTTTATTAAAAAAAATTTTTTTTATTATCATTACCATTATTGGCAATAATGTCATCAATTAAACATAATAAATTTAAGCTCAATCTTGTTGAATCTAATACTGAAATTGAGGCCCAGTCACTTACATCTATTACATCCAGCAGTAATAACAGTAATAATTTAGCTTCTTCCAAAAAACAAACAACTTTGCAAAGTAAGCTTTTTCATAAAAACTTTTTGAGAAAAAAGATCTTCTATCAGAACATCTAAATGCACAAACACATCATGAAGTTTTATGTCTTATTTGTCCTAGTAATGAAAAAAAAACTTGGCTTCGAAAAATTAGTGATTCCAATACAACAAATCTTTGGCATCATCTTAAAAGTTATCATCCAAATAATGATCCAAGAAAGAATGATAAACCTTTAAAGTTTACACAATCCATATTCAGAGAATTAATTACTAATGAATAGTACTTGGTAGTTTGCCATTTATAACTACTGAAAGTAAACATTTTCAACAAATAATTAAGTTATTAAATCCAAATACACATGTTCCTACAGACAATACAGTAAAAAATGATATTATGAGTAACTTTGAAAATGAGCATATGAATATGAAATGTTTGCTTCAAAACGTTCCAGAAAAGCTTTCATTCACAATTGATACATGGACATTAGTAAATGTTGATTTATTTTTTGGCATCACAGTGCATTGGATTTCAGAAAATTGGGAGCTTAAAAATACTTTATTAGATTTTATTAACCTTAGTGGTCCTCACTCTGGAGAAAATCTATGTGGTGCATTTGTAGAAAGCTGTTACGAATTTGGAATTTTAACAAAGGTTTTTGCAATTATGAGTAACAATGCCACAAATAACAATACTTTTATGAAACATTTGGAACATGTATGTAAAAATGAAAATATCAATTTTAATGCTAAGGAATCACATTGTTGATGCATCATTCACATTTTAAACTTAACTGTTCAAGAAATACTTAAGCAACTTAAAGCTGACAAAGTACAACATTAGAACATTATATTAGATAATATAGGTGCATCTATCATAACCGGAAAAATAATTCCTAAGCTTCAAAAACTTATTGTTAAAATTAAATCATTATCACAACGTCAAAAAAAATTTGCATGCCAGGTTTAAGCTGCTGGTCTTTTAAATTATAATCTTATTCTAGACATAGTAATGAGATGGAATTTTACCTATGATATGCTTGAACGAGCATTAGAAATGCATAAGGCATTAGATGCAACTACAAGCTTAGATAATAATCTCAAATTATTATAGCTTAATAATGACAAATAGATTAAAATTTAAGAAGTAATAAACATTTTTTTTCGGTATTAAGGTGACCTCTTTGGTCCGAGCTTTTTATTAATACTTATAGCAGGTACATGTTTTATATAG